CATGAGGATGCAGCCAGAAGACGGCCCCCTAGGAACCAGGAATGAGGTTCTCATCAGACACTGAATCTGCTCACGCCTTGCTCTCAGACTTCTCAGCTTCTACATCTGTGAGAAGCAAATTTCAGTTGTTTATATGCCACTCAGTCTATGGCATTCTGTTATGGCAGCCTGAACAGAATAAGACAAACTCCAAATATATATATAGTTTATTCCCTAACACAAAAATATTAGCTGTTTCTATACCAAATTCTGTGTCTTCCTGGGATTGCGAGGTGTTGACCCACTAAAGAAACAGTTGTGCACTTCAAACAACATTGGGAAGATGTTCTCAGACATTTGATTCACAAAGAGAGAGAGGTCAGCTGGAACACTGAGCACATTCGTGTCAGTGACCCTGACAGGACATACGGAGGCCAATTTATAGTCCGTGAAAGGGACTCCGCCACGGTGAACAGTTGCCTAGGTTTTGTATTTCTTTGGCTCTTAAGGTAATAGAAATGTCTTTTCTATCTAATTCCAAAGGACCTTCGAACTGAAAAGTAAACCTGATTCTTGTTCACAAAATGTTTACCTCTTAGGACCATGCAACTCTTCCAAGTACTGAAACTGTCTCATTTCTTTCTGTGTATCTCTTGGCTTTGTCTCCCTATTTGTCTGATAATTTAGCAACAGCTTCCATTTTACTGACACATTCTGATTAAAAATGGAATATTTTCCTGCATATAAAAGCACGTCCTTAACCTAGTGCCTGGCACTGAGATGCTCAGTCAGTGGTGGTTATTACCATCTAAGACTTACGACCGGGATCCCCAGACCATTAAGAGGACCTAATGGTTACACTAGCTCTTCAACAAACACTGAAAAACTAGACAAGGTATAAAAAAAAAGAAGAGACAGCTCCTAAATGGTAGGTGTAAGAACTCGACAAGAGAAAAGGAATGGTCAAGAGGGAGAAAATAGGCAGAAAATAATCTAAAACCATATAAAGATATTTATAGTTAGTAAAATATTTTCAGTTTCAGCTTACACACACACACACACACACACACACACACACACACAAAACCCAGTGAAGCATCCAGTTGAATACACGAATGTGTCACGGCAGGGAGATGGTGATTCACAGAGATTTTCTTCATAAAGAAATAGAGCCTCGCCTATTTAAAAGCTGTTCCATTTAATGCAACATTGCATTGAACAGGGTTCCTTTTCATGAGGCTACTATTAAAGGCAAAATTAGTATCTGTAGCATTTAGATGGCGTGCTGACTGGGGCCATAACACTGGGGCGCTTAGACGCTCCCATTGTCAATGTACAGTCTGGTCTTTGGAAGTTTAAAAATAGCTTTCACCACATTTTAGGGCTTTTCTTGCAGGGGCGGTGGCTGTGTGCTCTGGAAAATGCCGGGCACCCTGCCGGGAAGGCTGCTGTGCTGAAACCTTGCTAGCATGTTGATCTTAGGGGGTCCAGGATGCAGGACCACCTGGATGTATGATCCTGTTTCAACCACGTCCTTTGAGACCTCAGGTAAGCTAGAGTTTAGAGGCAAGCAATGTCTCAGGATCATGATTCTTGTTCCAACCATGACATTTGAGCACATCATTTATCCTCTCAATTAGATAATCAGTTAGGGAGATTTTATGATTCAGGGTTCTCTTTTAGTTTTCAAATCTTGGTTCCGTAGAGTAAATATATATCAAGCATCTACTATGTCCAAGACTTTACACTGGGTGTTAGGAATATAAAGAGGAATAATACTTTCTCTGCCCTCTGGTGGGTGAGGGGTGGGAGAGGGACACATAACAGATCCTTCCAATGGATTCTTCAATTCTTCACAAGGAGGTCTTACATGCAGATGCTTATGGAGCCAGGCTGGTCTTGTGAATGAGTGAAGAGGCTTCTAGGGCACCATGGCCCATGGAGGTGGTGTGCGCTGTTGTTTGTGGGGCAGCGCCTCAGGTCCAGCTTTGGCCAGGCAGGAGTGCAGGCCCAGCATTGCCAGGACTTACTGCTTCTCAAACCGGATCTAGATTTTTATGAGAAGTATCCCTATTTTTCAATTTTAGGAACTGTGTGGGCCAACCCCAGATAGTCTGCAAGCCAGGTCTGGCTTGGAGCCATGAGCCACCTCACCTGTCGGGGTAGAGTGAGAGAGGATGGGACACTTTGTTTCGGTCCTCTCATTATTCGCCATTTGTGTAGCTCTTCCTGTTGACAGGTTTCAGTCTGTTGTGAAGAAAAACCTTTCTAGTACAACAGTCCAGACTTAAATGTGAGGCCTTCTGAAGGGATGAGCTGCTGGGTACTTAGAGAGATCGAATAGATCCTGGATGAGGCTGGATGGGCGTGCTGCCAAGGGTCCTCCGAGGGAAGCAGTGGGCAGAAGGAGATGGAAAAAGCCATTTTCTAGAGGCCAGAGCAGAGCGTAGAGAGAGGAGGTCGAGCCCCCATGCCGGCAGAGCCAGGAGCTGGGGGCAGCAGGTGTCTGCTCACCAGGACGGCCACCATAGTTGCTACTCAGCCACCAGGACTGCTGTGTGTTCCAGTTAGGGCCTGGTGTCTGTGGTCATCTAGGCTCGTGCCGGCCAGTATGATAACTACCAGGTTCATGTGGCCAGTTAAACTTAAAATAATTAATGTGAAATGCAAAAATTCAGGTCTTTAGTCACACTTGCTACCCTGAGTGCTCAGAGACTGCAGGTGGCAGGTGGCCCTTACGTTGCAGCACACAGAACATTTCCATCAGTGAGAAAGTGTGGATCTATATTCTGTATTCTATTGGACGTTCCTGATCTACAGTGTTCCAGTCTTTTCCCCCATGTATCATTAACTGAGAAAACCCGACCTTGCTTCTTTGTCACTGGAATGAGTTTCCCCAGTACAGTGACTTAAAGGTCCCCTCAAAGTCCATGGTCTCTGAGAAGGATGCATGTGTCTGTTATGAGGTATTCTGAGACTGGAATATATTTATTTATTTTTTTAAAACTGTGTTTAAAATACACAGAGCATGAATTTTACCATCTTAACCGTTTTTAAATGTCCAGATCATTGGTATTAAGTACAATGTTGTTGTGTAACCATCACCAGCGTGCATCTCAGAATCTTATCATCCCAAACTGAAACTCTGAACCCACTAAACAATAACTCCTCCTTCCCCTTCTGCCCTGGCCCCTTTCTGTTTTCTCTCTCTGTGGATCTGTTCCAGGGACCTCATGTAAGTGGAATCACACCATATTTGTCCTTTGTGACTGGCTTATTTATTTAGCATAATGTCTTCAAGGTTCATCCATATTTTAATCTGTATCTGAATTTCTTTCTTTTCAAAGGCTGAATAATGTTTTAAAAATGCAGCAATTATATACATCAGGAAAAGCTCACCATGATAGGCTTAGTTACCACCCATCACCATACACAATGAAAGCTGACTAATTTCCTTGTGTGGATATCCCACGTTTGTCCTGTCTTCCCTTGGTGACCACTTGGGTTGTGAACAATGCTGTTCTCGACATGGGAGTCAGGCATCTGTCTCTTTGAGAACCTGCTCTTAGTTCCTTTGTACAAATACTCAGAAGTGGGATTGCTCTATCTATCATATGGTAGTTCTACTTGTAGTTTTTTGAGGAATCTCCTCTTTTCTATGGCAGCTGTGTCATGTACAGTGCACAAAGGTTCCAATTTCCCCACACCTTCACTAACACCTGTTATTTTCTGTTTTTCAGGTAGTAGCCATCCTAACAGATGTGAGGTGGTTTCTCACAGTGGTTTTGATTCGCATTTCCCTAACAAGTAGCAATGTTGAACATATTTTCATGTACCTGTTGGCCATGTGTTTTTGTGAAACAGCAATGCTTCAAAGTAGGAGAAGTGGCATTAAAAAAATTTAAGCCATTGCTGTTGATGTTGTTCTATTTTGTTTCTATTTCTCTTGGGTGGGGGGTTTGCTTCCCCTTGAGTATAGGCTATTAGAAAAGGATTTAAAAGGCCTTTGGTTCATGATGGTAAAGTAACGATCCTCCTCAGAAATGGAGAAGTTTGGGAGAAGGTAGGCTAAGGAGCTAAAAGTTTGTCTTCTTTGTGGGTGGAAATCAATTTTGAAGATTTCCTTTTTCCTGGGAATATCTTCTTCTCCCTGATCTTGGGGAGGTTGGGGCTTGGACTTATGGGACACCGGGGGAGAACGGACTGCTGGAAAGTAAGCCTGAGACCAGCAGTTAAGACCAGACTGTGGGCCCGGGGCCTGCGGACTTGAACAGCAGCCGTGCCGAGTCTCTAGTTGTAGGTTCTCAGAGTTGCAGTTACCGTTGGTCATGCCCCAGCCTTTCATAAGGTTTCAAATGTTCCAGCCCGTTGTTAACCAACACTGAGGAGAATGAAGGGAAGGGCTTGTGCTCATGGGTGGGGTGAAGGGCAGGCAGCAGCAGCTGCCTGGAGCGTCAGATTTCCGGGCAGCAGGAAGGGTAGATGGTGGCCAAGGGCAGGAGGAGGGCCAGATGGTGGTTGAGGTGGCAGTTGAGAGGCAGGACAGATTTGTGGAACATGTGGGCAACCCCTGGGGATTCCCAAACAGATTTGGGAAAGGGAAGCCAGTAAGAGGCCCACTTTCCTGCAGTCAAGGGCAGTGAGGCTCCTGCTGCGACGCCTTGTGCAGAAGGAAGCGTGGCCTTGTTCCTCGCTGCAGGTGCTTAGGGCTGACACGGGCGGGTTCCCGTGCCTGCCACGGTCACACCCTGAGGCTTAGTTGCTCCAGCGGTTCTTCACACTTGTGCTTTCCCTCTGCGCGTTTTCTAAGTTTTGGTGCCTTGGGCATCCTAACTGCTCACCTAACATGGTCTCCAAAGGGTAGGAGTTGCAGTCGCTTGGCTGGGCTTGAAGTTTGTCCTTGAATACATCGGTTGTGTGCTGTGGCACCATCTTTGAGGCCCTGCAAGAGAAAGTGTGGGGAAGGAGCACAGAAGCACAGGCAAGGCTGGAAAAAAAAATGAGAAGTTAGAAACAAGAAGTTATGAAGGGAGCTTTTTATTTATTTATTTGTTTGATGATAGTAAAAATGCTGTGGTCAAAGTTGAATTCCTTTGCAAAATCTTCATTTTGGTCTGATCCTGGGCTCACCATCTGTAAATGAAAGGGTTAAATCAGATCTGTTATTTTAAAAACATCTTTCTTATTCTCAGTTCTGGGGTTCTGAGGAGTTCCCTGGGATTCTCAAAGCAGGAAGGCGAGCAAGCCTTTAACCAGAGGAACTTCACTCTCTTGACTTTGAGGAAGGGTTTCATTTCAACGAAGGGTTCCACAGCAAAGAGATGTCTGAAAACCAGGCGCCGTATGCCCCCCAGCTGCTGGACCTCAGGGCTTCTAGTCCACCACGGACTGATTAGTGTGTTTTACCAATGTCATCATTATCATGTGAATAACAAAACTATTTTGTATTTCCTTTCTATGAATTGATTTGTAAAACAGTATTTAAAACTTCCCCCAAAACTTAAAAATAACCCACATTTGGCTTCTGTTTTTTTAGTTTTTCTTCTCTGTGTTGGGGTTCCTCAGGACCACCCCAGATTCCATGATTCATAGGAGAGTTTACAAGACTCAGCAAGGGGTTACGCTCACAGTTCAGACTGATTCCTGTGGGACGACACAAAGCCCAAGGGCAGGGCGCATGAAGTGAAGTCTGGGGAAACAAGGCCCAAGCCTCCAAGTTCTCTCCCGGGGGAGCCACATAGGCTGTGCTGATTTCTCCAGCCACAAGTTGTGACAGCACATGTGAAGTGGCATCTGTTGGAGAAGCAAAGCTCATTACAGGCTCAGTGTTCAGGGTTTTGACTGGGGGCTGGGCACAGAGACACCTATTAACTATAATGCTCCAAAACCTCAGATTCTTAGAAGGAAAGCATAAACCACATTGTTTGTATAAATGGTTTAGGCATTATGAACCATTCTTATCAGGGAATGGTGGGAAGCTGGAAATCCAATTTCCCAGAGGCCTGCCAAGGGCCAGCCTTGCAAGCAGGTTGTCTAGGGGCAGCGGTCAAGCTTGCTAACTCTTTTCTGCACACTCTCCTCCTCCTTTGCTTTCTTCTTCATCTTTTATTGGAAACCTCAAAAAATGGAAGTAGTCCAGGTTTCTGTCTGACCCCGAGAGGCCCTGTAATACTGGGTGCATGTGGCACTGCTCCTCCGGGGAAGGATGCCCATGAAGAAGGATGTGGCAGCGAGACTGGGGAGCTCAATGCTGATCGGGCATGCCAAGATGGGCGCACCTCATGGGGATGGTGAAGGAATGGAGAGAGGCCAATTTTGAGAGCCACCAGCAAAGCAGGATGGAGGGCTGCCTGTTGGAGAGTGCTTTTTGGCTGGCTTTCCTCGTAATTCAGCATGCTTCTAGACTGCCTTCCTTGGCCTTAGATTAAGTGTTCATAAAAAGTCAGTTCTTCCCCCTTCCCCAAATAGTAACACATACAATAGAATCTTCAACTCAAATAAATGTTACATTTACATTTGATTACTTATGTCACAGTTTAATCTCTTTATATAGATACTTTAACCATGGCTCCCAATTTCTATGTACTTGGGAAAGCAGAATTAGTATCTTATTGAATGCAGAAGAGCCTACCTTCATTTTTGAGCAAGAATTTAATTTTTTTTGATTTGTTGAGCTTTTCCTAACTAGAAATCATACACATATGTATTTTAGAGCTCAAACTGAAGTCAACTCAAGGTAGGCAAAGCAGAGAAGCCTCAGTTACAGAGCAGGTGAACTCTGTGCTTTGAATCGGTGGAGCAGTTATCTTGATGTTAGAGTTAGGTGTGGTTGGGGGAGGGCAAGGCCAAGCAGATATATGGCTGGCTGTGAGACTGACTGCTTAGACAACATTCTTCAACATGAGGGTCCCCAGCCAAGGCAGGTGAGAGCTGGCCACGCCGGACTCGACGGCTGAAGCATAGCTTGCTGGCTGCTTGCTGAGATGCTCTCTACAAAAGGCACGCCATGTTACTGCTCATACTACTGTGGTCTATTGCATACATTCAGAATAGAAGAAAATGTTGAATTTCAGTTAGAAGCTAGTGAGAATAATTTAAAAATTTCCCCCCTATTTTTGAATCCCCTGAATTCTATCTGTGGGCCCCTTGAGGGGTTCAGGGACCCAGGTGAAGAACACTTGCTTTAGAATATTATAGATTCTTAGATTATTAATCCTGGTTTTGATAAAAGATCTATATCATCTCTTGGTATTTCTCTGGAGGTTCAAAGCAGAGCATCCTGAACATACATTGTACTAGATTTTTAGTTCTTTTATTTCATTTTTTAAAAAGATCTATATACTTCTTGCTATGTGCCAGGTACTGTTCCAAACTAATTAATCACTTCCAACTGTTTACCAGTAACACTGAATTAATATTTACAGAGATTAACTCGGCATTAGCATGTTTCTCTATCACTTGTGATACGTTTCTTTTGGGGCCTGTCGTTCCTTTCTTGCTTTTTTTTTGAACTTCGGACTTAACAAACCATCCCAACACTTTCTTCTATCTTCACTGGTCTCTCTGTGTAATTAGGATGGAACAGTATTTGGTACTTGTTTATCTTTTCACTATTTTCTTGTATTTATTCTGCTAGGGATTTGTAGTGTTTATATTTTTTTATTTTTTGGATCCTGTGGCTTGATGTTTATTCGCAGTTTTGTAGAATTCTTTGCCATTCTGCTCCATTTGCCTTCTGCTTTCTGGGGCTCCAATTACATCTAAACTTTTGCAGGGTTAAATTTTTTTATGGAGCAGATGCCCCATGTATCTCTTATGCTCTTTTTTTATGTTTTCCATCCATTTTGCTCCCTAAACTTAAGTCTAGCTGTTTCCTACTGATTTATTTTCCTGCTCACGAGTCCTGTCTACAGCTGTGTCCATCTGCTGTCAAACTCATCTACAGAGTTCCAAATTTCAGTTCTAGAATTTCCATTAGTTTCTTTTCTATCGAGTCCAGTTCTCTCAAGAAATTCTCTCCCCTTTCACAAATATATTATCACAGCTCTTAAAAAGTTCATCTGATCATCTGTGTCAGATTGTCAGTCATAACCGAGTTACCTGTGGGACTGTTTCTATGCCCACTTTTTTCTCTTGGTCCTGGTTTGTGTCACACCTGGTCATCTTTGATAGCCAAACATTATGGATTAAATATGACAGAGGTTCTGCATGGTACCCTCTTCTCCCAGAGGGGATGGGCCTGTTGCTTTGTTAGTAGCTAAGTACCTTCCTCAGTCGGCATCCATGCAGACTTTGGGCGGGGCTGAATTCTTTGTCAGGCTCATCCTGCCTGGAGGTCATCCCAGCACCCAGAGACCCTGCGGGGAGCTGGGGCTTGTCAGTGCTCTCTGCTTGGTGAACCCCAGGCTCTAATTTTTGTCTCCCCAGCACCTTGAGACTTGAAAGTGCCCCTCACTTTACCAGCTGCTTTTAGTAAGGCTTCTGAGACTCTCACCTACGTAGTTTAAGAGTCAACAAATGACTGGAGGGGAAAAGAGGGAGAAAAGCTCCAGACTCACTCCTCTGAACCTCTCCTTTCTCTAGCATTTTGGCCCTAACCCATTTTTTTGTTTCTTTACTCCTGAGGGATTGCTGACAGCTTTGCACTGAATCTCAGCCTCTAACTTAAAAACCAGCGAATGATGCGTGCTCACCTCTTCGAGCTTCCCTTCTCCTTGGATCCTGGCGCTTCTGGAGAGTTCAACAGCTTTCCAGTGTCTTCGCATAGGTTGCTGTTATTCTTATCACTAATTTCTAAGTGTTCAGAGTCAGAGCAATTTGCAATTTAAAAAACACTTTTCGTAACTTCCGGTTTTTGATTTCACAAAAAAACCTGTGTCAAAAGGCACCCAGGGTGCCACTCCCATTTGCCAGAAGTGAGGGGGGAAGTCTGGAGAGCTGAGAGGAAGAATCTCATTCGCCTGAAGGGCAGGGCTGACCCTAGAATCCCGTCTCCTGGTTCCTCATCTAGAATAGTCCTGCCTCTAGGTGTGCTTTCTTTTGCTAGGGCCTCCCTAATAAAATACCACAGACTAGGCGGCTTAAACAACACACATTTCTTTCTCACAGTCTGGAGGCTAGAAGTTGAGATCAAGGTGCTGGTGGGGCTGGCTTCTTCTGAAGCCTCTCCTTGGCTTGTCGCGGCTGCCTCCTCCCTGGGTCTCAGCTGGTTCCTCCTGTGCATGTGTCTGGGTCCTAATCGCCTCTTCTTATAAGGATCCCAGTCATACAAGATTGGGGCCCACCCTAACAGCCTCAGTTAATCTTAATCACCACTTTAAAAACTCCTTTCCAAATAGAGACTCATTCTGAGGTATTGGGGAGGACACTTCAACATATAAATTTTGGAGGGACGCAATTCAGCCCATAGCACCATAGGACAGGCTTATGAAAGTTAGTATCAGTTTTCTTAAAATTTCTATAAATTAACTGTGTAGGAACTCTCTTTGTTGTAGCACAGAGTTCTTGAAGTATGGTACTGGCTCCCGGGTAACCTGCAGTTCAGCATGAACATTAACATCAGCATGAACTGACTAGAAATGCAAATTCTTGCTTCCACCCCAGATTTACTCATTAGGAACTCTGGGGTGGGCCCAGCAAACCCTCCTGGTGACTCTAATGCAGGCTCCAGTTGGAGACCCAGTACCTTAGCCCTGGGGAAGGGACATCTCCCATGCAGAGTTGTAAATTCCTGTCATGCTATTCCCAGTCCTTTTTAAAGGATGACTCTCCTGAGACATCAGGTTATGATTGATGGCCGGATCTGTCAGATAGCAGCATTTAAATCAATGCTCATCTGTCTTGTGGTATCATGCAGCATTCAAATATCACATACTCATTTGAGGATTTATAAAGGAGGCAACTTTCAACAGAAAGCTCTCTTATTTGAGGAATGATATTCTTCACTAATTTGGGCCTCAGTTTTATTATCTCTAAAATGAGAAGCCTGGATTCCTTTTGTAGCTCTGACAGCCTGTGCATCCGTACGAACATCCGTACGAATGACTCAGAATAACTCACACCCCAGCAGTGTCAAGTTTATGACTTCCTGGGAATGATCTGAATGGTTTAGTCTGAATGGTCAGACTAAACACCCAAAATCGTTACGCAGAGTGCTTCAAATTAGAAGTTTCTAGAAAATTCTCTAGCTGGAGCTCTGTCAATCAGACTGGGCAAAGACAGATTAACAAGAGAAAAACAAACAGTTTATTAACATGTGCATATACACTTGGGAGCACCCAGTGATGGGGTGGTTAGAACTTGGGTTTCTATACCATCTTAAGTTAAAACAAAGAAAAAAAGTTTTTGGGCTTCTGGGTAAAAGAGGCAAGTTATATGAAGGTGACCAGGTAAGCAAGAATTGTTTAATAAGGTTTTTGTGAAGATAGCGGTCCAGGCCTTCCCCACTAATAAGCATGGTTAAGAGTCCTCTTACCCTGGTACAAGGGATGGAGACATTGTTACAAAGGGAAATTGCCTTTATAAGTGGAAATTTGCTTTATAAGAGGAAAACTGTGCCATTTTAGGAGCTGTTTATGAATCTGCTCTTTCTCATCATCTTTTTTTTGTCTTTATTGACTTTTAGTTTTTGTACACAAAGAAAAATCATGTTCATATCCATCATGAACAAAACTTAAAAAGGCAGAACTAGAAGACATGTGTCCTTCACCAAAGCAAAGCTGTGCTAAAGGTTCCAAACATTTCAATTTTTAAAATAAATATTTTCATTTTCCGATGTCTACTTTCATGTCTTCAGAGTGTCACAGGAAACTGAAGCTATCATGAATTACAATTTTGTTTAGAGTCCCAGCTCACTGTGTTTGGTAACTTGCCATACCATATCCAGCTTGGTCAGGAGGAGGTATTACAGGGGGAGGAGCTTGTCCCTGGGGACGCTGAGCACCAAATCCGCCCATCCAAGCAGCAGAAGGTGATTGACTTGGAAGAAAAACATTCTACTCCAAATCCCTGTTGATTCCGTGGTTGCCCATATACTCCATAAGGCGGTACTTGCCACCCATTGGCCATATACTGTCCATACTGTTGTGGGTTTCCATAAACTTGGCTCCACTGGCCCCACTGACTATAGTCGACCTGTTGGAAGTTTTTAGTCATATCAGGAGGTTCTTTACCCCAATAGCATTTAACCATATGTCCTTCGATCGTAGTGCCATTCACTGAAACAATGGCATGGGCAGCACTTTCATGGGTTGAAAATCTGACAAATTAATAGCCCTTCTCTGGAAAAACTCTTATTTCCATAATTTGTCCAAATGGTGAGAATGTTTGTCTCATAAGCTGATCTGTTAACCCAGAAGCAATTCCACCACAGTACACAGTACAATTTTTTGGACTTGACTGGTTCACTACATCTTCAAATCTCAACTGCTTAGTGTTATTTTCTTGTGTACTTTTAGGTGCAGGTGGTTTACAAGTGGCCCAGTTGGTTCTGATTTGACAGCCACCCAACCACTGACCTCCCATATGCACAATTGCATTTTCTGCATCCAGTTTGTTATAAAAAGATACAAAACCATAGCCTTTGGATTTTCCAGTTGCCATGTCTTTAACTACTTGGGCATCCATATCTCTTATGTTCCAGGCAGTGAACTAAGTGCTGCAGGGGGTAAGACCTAGGAAGATGTAGCAGTTCTTGTAGAGTCCGGGGCTGTCCGTCGTCTTCCATCATGGTGGGTGCGACGGAGCGATCCCGGGACAAGGGGGAGGGCAGGGCTGGGGAGGGGAGGGGGTAGGGAGGAAAGGTGGGGGGCTCCGGGCACTGGCTGGGGACAGAGGAAAAGGTACCGAACCCTGCTCTCGGGTTCTCTCCCCCCAGCCCGCTCCAGACACTGCGCTCCACCCAGGAGGAGTGAGAGGAGGAGGAGGATCTTTCTCATCATCTTTTAGCTCAGAATAGTCCATATGCCAAAGAGGCATATTTTGGCATGTTTTGGGATAGCATATTCTGGTACCTCTCAGTTTGTCCCCAGTCACTGGTGTCTCCCCAGCCCTAGCTGAATGCATGCAATGAGTGCTTGATAAATGCAGGGGGTTTTAGGTAGAATCACCCTCTTGGCCAGAGATCCCAAACTCGCCCAAACCCAGAAAGCAACTTTACCTTTGGGGTGGCCTCAGGGGAATGTGGGGCCCAATATAACTCCTTCACCAGTGGTTACTGTTCATAATAAGCGTCTCTTTCTCATCATAAGTTCTAAAATCAGGGTATAGTTTTCCCTTCGAAAAGCAATTTATATTTATAAGGGAAATTTCAGTTCTTCTGATCTCACCGAAACTTCACACAGTAGGCAAGGAGGGTTTCATTATGGCCGTTTTACTATGTTGTCAAATCCTGGGGAAAACTAAGCATTTTCCAAATTCACAAACTGGTTAGTGACAGAATTAGGAAGAAAACCTATTTGGCTAGTGCCAGGGTACTCTGCACTCCCCCGAGGCCTTGTTTCGGGACTGGAAATAGGGGTGTTACAATATCCAAACTCCTGAAAACTGAGGAGCACTGAGGGGCCATGGAGCCCTGGGCAGCTTCTTTTTCTTGATATAATCAAATTTATTTTTAAATGTGTTACGTTGATTAGTGTCAGGTTAGGATGATGTAGGTAAGCAGGCAGAATAACACTTTTTTGGTTCCTACATTCATTTCCTCCTTGTAGCTGGGGAAATTCCAGCAGACCATGTTTCTGGGGGAAATTTAGAAGGCTCCTCATTGTTCTTATAAGGGGAATTGTGGCTTGGCCTGCATGGAAGGAAATCAGTAGGAGGCTGAGGAAGTTTGTGGGCAAAGCTGGCGCTGCGCAGAAACTCGGATAAGGAGTCTTCACCATGACATGCCTGCTTGCAGGAGAGCATGTGTTTGCATGCTGAGTGATGCATTGCCTATGTATTACTGTTAATTATTTTAAAATGACCAGAACTACTATTAACATGCGACAGTGGTTCATTAGAATCTGTAATTGTGTCTATCAGTAATGATATTACCTGTGTAACAGAATATGGGACATTAATTCTAGTCCCTTCGACTATTCACTACCAGTTCTCCAGGTATGCACTTATGCCCCAAGCACTGAATTAATCTCTTCTCTTATGACTAAGTGGGGTTGTAGATCAACTGTTTTAGGAAGATGGTTACCTTATTTATTAAAGACCCACACCTACATCCCTTCAACTACAAAAGATCCAGCGCCATTTTTTGGCAATTTGCTGTAGTAGTTTACAACTGATTCCCAATGCCCAGGTTGAGCCTACATTCCTTTTGCTGTGCACAGAGCTGTTTCTTTTCTTCTTTCCCCCACCCCCACCCTGAGCAGCAACTAGTCTCAAACTAGAAGGTTCCCCTTGTGACATCTGGGGCCCAGTTTCTCCCAGGAGTGGCCCTCCCCCAACAGGGCATCGAGAAACATACAGGGGCTGTTTTTCTGACTTCTTGTTTTGTCTCAATGTTGGGGTGGAGGGGTGCCATGGACACTTCCTGGGTGGACGCCGGAGCTGGCCACACTGCTCAGCTCTGTCCCACCTCGCCAAGAGTGTGGCGTGCTCCACGTGCCTATTGAGAAGCAATCCCTTACCCCTCTCTGTCCCTGGGCTGTGGGATACCCTGGGACTTTTCAGTTCCCCAGAGCAGTTTGGCCTTCTACCCAGAAGTGCTGTGGGCCTGCGCGCATGCGCAGGAGCTGGAGGGGACCTGTTCTTGTAGAAAGTGTTCCTGCTTTTCACCAGGCAATCTTGGGGCTTCGGGTCTCAGGTCATTTTGAGGAATGACAAAGTCTTCCTCAA